CCTGTCAGGTTCAACCCACGCTTAGTAGGTGACCAGCAACGCCCTCCCAGGGACGGACCCCCGCGCGCACAAAAGTCCCCCAGCGGCGAGAGGAGCGGACACAGGCGCGGACGTGTGGCATCCTGGGGGGGGGGGGTCTCCCGGCTGCCGCGCTGAGTGACAAACCCGTCTTACTGGTCACGTACCACATGGCCCCACTGACCTCCCGTTGTCTAAGTGACAACGACGGTGACGGAGAACGGTTCAGGGTTCGGGGACGTGTCTACAAGCAGGGGAGCAGAAGAAGTTTGGGGGGCGGTGGAACAGGGCCCAGCAGTGGTAGCGACGGTTACCGGCCTCTATACCCGGGTTTCACTGGTGGTGCCGGCGGTCCCCAAGGCGCCCCCAGGCCTGGTGATTCTCTAGAAGGACTGACGAAGAGGAGGCCCGGGAGCTCTGCTCCTGGACCACTCCCAGCTCTGACCCTTGGCGGCTCAGATCCGCATCCTTCCCCGGCCCGAGCCTCACCAACAGTGCGACGGGCTTCATGAGTTCCGTCCTTCTAGCGAGTTGTCCGACCCGACGCTAACGCCAGGGACCCTCTGAACGATCGGTGGGTGTCGGAAGGCCTGGGCGGCTTTGCCATCTGGAGGACTGTGCCCTTAGCCTTGACCTTGCCCAAAAGCAGGTGCTATGGGAAAACCAGCGGCGTTCGAGCAAGGCGGGCTGCTGAGCCGAGACGGCTGTACCAACGCCAGTGGCCCGGTTTGGGAAACAGCTGGGAACGGGGAAGACACCGTCATTAGGGGAAGCTGGGGGAGGGGTCCACGGGAACTCCCCCGACTCGTTCCACAACCTGCATCAGTCGAAATTATTTCAAAGTTTGTAAGGAAAAAAAAAAAAAAGACTCAGAAAAATCGAGCTAAGGTCACCAGGCAAACACACACACGGGAGCGACACAGTGTCAGACAAGATGAAAATCGAGGCCAAAAGCATCAGGCGAGACCAGGAAGAGGATTTAACAAGATGCAGTCGCCACTGAAACTCGAGCGGGCCAGACACACGCCACACAGCGCCCGGTCGCAGAGGCCACACGGCGAGGGGAGGGATGGAGGGAAGCGTCTGGGACGTCCAGGTGGAGGCCAACCGGCCACGTGTAAGAACACGGCGAACACCCGGTTCTCCGAATCACCCGTCAACAAAGTGAAAACTGACACCACCATCTGTACGAGAATTCTCCAGCGCACGGAAGTTTAAAACTCTGGGGTCTAGGGGCGCCTGGGGGGCTCAGTGGGTTAAGCCTCTGCCTTTGGCTCAGGTCATGATCCCAGGGTCCTGGGATCGAGCCCCGCATCGGGCTCTCTGCTCAGCAGGGAGCCTGCTCCCTCCTCTCTCTCTGCCTGCCTCTCTGCCTACTTGTGATCTCTGTCAAATAAATAAATAAAATATTTTAAAAAAATTAAAAAAGGAAAAGACACCACAGTTGAGGCCATGAAGTCCAGCTGACACTTCCTTCACAAGACGTCTCCCTCCATGGAGAGTGTCAGGGTTAAAAAAAAAAACATAAAAATGAAAAAAATAAAACTCTGGGGTCTAAGTGGAAGTCGGAGTAAGAACCACACACACAGGCCTCTCGGACCGACGCGGTGCCGGCGAAGAAGGCCGAGCTGGCGGAAGACAGTAACGTTCTACTTACCTACTTTCACTCTTTTGTATTGAGTAACTTGACAACCGACTCTGATTTGAAAAATAAGCGGGAGGAGATGCTATGAACGTGAAATTAACTTAAGCAAAACTGGTACAACGTCATGTAGGAAAAGTAACAGCAATTAAAGACCCACAACTACAGAAGATTTCACGTATTTCGGTCAATCCTACATACCGTAATTTGAAGACTTATATTAAGTGAAAGACCTACCAGGACATTTAAAAATCAGGGGCGCCTGTGCGGCTCAGTGGGTTAAGCATCTGCCTTTGGCTCAGGTCATGATCTCAGGGTCCTGGGATCAAGCCCAGAGTTGGACTCCCTGCTCAGCGGGGAACCTGTTTCTCCCTCTCCCACTCCCCCTCCCACCACCACCACTCCTGCATTTTAATAAATAAATCTTTTCTAAAAATTTAAAAATCGTTGGAATGAACCCCAGCAGAGGTTTAAACCCACCCAAATGATAAGAGACCTGGACGAGGTTCTGAAGACCTCACCCCTCCTGCCCACCAAACCAAAAAGTTCCCGATGAATTTGACCCAGACCTCAAAGGACTTCCTTTTGCTTTTTTTCTAGAACCTGCCGAAAAGCCAAGTTCTAAATTCTTTCTGTAAGGCTGGCACAATTTAAATTTAATTCTAAAATCAGAACCAAACAAAACTACAGACCAACCCCTTTGTACACACGGCTACAAAAGTACAGAGCACAGACCCACGGAATTCGCATGTTCGAAGCGTGTCAGTTAACACACAGACGTGGCTCAGTGTCTGGCGCACTACTCCTTGGTATCCCTCATTAAAAAACTGAATCAGGGGCGTCTGGGTGGCTCAGTGGGTTAAAGCCTCTGCCTTCAGCTCAGGTCCTGATCCCAGGGTCCTGGGATTGAGCCCCGCATCAGGCTCTCTGCTCAGCAGGGAGCCTGCTTCCTCCTCTCTCTCTCTGCCTGCCTCTCTGCCTACTTGTGATCTCTGTCTGTCCT